TTTTTTACATTGCATCAAACCTTTGGAAATTGCTTTTAGTTTGCAGAAACAGTGGGACGGGCAGCATGGTGGTGCAGTTGGTAGAGCTGCCATTTTCTTGGGTTGATTGTCCCTAGGTGTGAGTGAGAGTGAATTGTTGTTTGTCTCGTTTGTCTCTATGTGTCCCTGTGATGAAACTTGCCACCTGTCCAGGGTGTCCCCCACCTCTCGCACAGTGATAGCTGGACATGGGCACCAGTGACCCTCGTGACCCAAAAAGGAAGAAGCTGGTAAAGATAATGGATGGATGGAAAACAGTGCGACAACTAGCTGGTGCTCCGTTGTATTATCTCTGTTGCACGTTATTATTGTAGATGTAAACGTTAATACAGGATGTCTGAGAATAAACTAGAAAGTTACTGGAGAAACTCTGACTGGGACTGCCACGTTGTGGCCATTTTAAATTTTTGATTTGACAGTACTATGTGTTGGGGTTCACTCTCAGCTACTATAGCACCAAATTTCAGCTCAATATGGCAAAAAAAAAAAAGTCCATGAGTTATAGTCATTTTTTTCCTTTTAAGCTCTGGTGGCCATGTTGGATTTTTGATTTGGATTCAGTGTGTGATGGAAAATGTTCTTAGCTATGACCTCACCAAATTTCAGCTCTATATCTTTTAAAATAGCCGAGTTATATTTTTTCTCTTTTAGCTAAAGTGGCCATCTTGGATTTTTAATTAACAATTTTTAATATTTGGTCCAATTATTACAATAATGCTGTCCCATAAATAAAATGTTCAGATAAGTGTTCACTGTTATCCATTCAAAACATTTCTAGTCTGACCCGACCCCCCTGGCTTCATATCAGGCAGAACTGCAGATCAGCTTCACACCAGCAATTTTCCAACATGCTCTTCCATGAACGTTCTTGTATCAGGAGTCATTTGAGACACTTGCCACCTCGCTTCGATAACGCGTCACACTGTAGGACCTGCTCTAACACTGCCTGTTCAGGCACACGCACACAACCTTCATCACCTTCTCCAGTGCTTGACAGGAGTCCAGCAACAAGTGGGACCCGTAAGAGATAACAGATGAGAACTTGTTCACCGGGTCACGTCCTGTCAGGACAGACGAAGAACAAAAGGTCACGACCGCCTCCTCACACATTAACTGAGCTCTGAACAGCACAGACATAATCGCACGCCACCATGAAAGGCAAATATAATTTGTTTGTCTGTTAGCAAAATATCTCATGAACCACTGGATGGATTTTAACAAAACGGAATGAAGCTATTTTATGTTTGGAGTCAATCTGAGTCAAGATAGCGCTGCAGCTAATTGATCATAGCAAACACAAAAAAATGGCTAACTCAGTCAATTTTCTAGATGTTGTATTCAAATTTGGTGTGGTAGTAGCTGAGAGTCTTCCCCGTACTCAGGGTGGACGACAGTATGCATTCCTTTGAATAATGATGCTTTTTTTATTTGTGTTTTGAAAACTTTAGGGTGTTTTGGCCTCGTCAGAGCTGTAATATTGTTTCATTTTTGTTTTAATTGTTTATCTTGGTATGGGATGTGTGTGTGTTGGGGGGGGGGGGGCAGGGGGGATTAACGTTTTGATTTTTCTCTTCACCTTCATAGTATTTGTTAAATAGTTGCATTGGGATAAGTTGGGAGGGGGAACTGAGAAAGTTACATTGCACATTAAATCAGTGTTTTACATTCTTACCCAGACGTTTTAGGCAGATTCATTCACCACAGAAGACTTCATGCTATAGGATATTAATTTTCATTAAAGTGTATTTGTTTGTGCTGTTAAACCGAGGTGATCAATATTCATTTGAAAACAAGGAAAAAGTACACATAAGACCTTATGATGACATTAACAAGACTCTTACATTATTTTTTGAATTATTCCAAAGAGCCGTCCTCATGTTCAGTCTGCAACCTTGAGTCCTTAATCACAATTCCCAACATGCCCAAAAATCCCACAACAAAACTTTTTCTGTCCAGTGTTTTTACTCCACTTTTAAAAGCATACTCAAAATGAATATCCCACTTAGTTGCATGACCAAAAAGATTGCTTTTATTCGTAGATTTATCACTCGTGTCCTTATTTGAGAATTACCATACATGTTTGGTAACTGTGTTTTCATTTTTATTTTTTTTGTCCATCCATCCATCCATTATCTTTTACCCGCTTCTTCCTTTTTGGGTCACGGGGGTCACTGGTGCCCATATCCAGATATCACTGTGCGAGAGATGGGATACACCCTGGACAGGTCTCCAGTCCATCACCCGAACACATAGAGACAAACGAGACAACATGCATGTTTTTGGTCTGTGGGAGGAAACCAGAGTACCTGGAGAAAACCCACACATGCACAGAGAAAACATGCAAACTCCACACAGAAAGGCCCAAGAGCCAGGATTTGATCTGGTGACATTCTAGTTGAGAGGCAACAGCTCTACCAACTGCACTACCGTGCCGCTCTTTTTTTAGTTATTGTCTTTTTTTGTTGTTTAGATTTAATAATACCTACCCTACCCAATTGTCAGAAAACATTCTTAAATTAAACTGAAATAAACAGTCTCACGTTGATTTGCCCATTATTAGTCTCTTTATGCTATGTGTGTGTGTTATTGCTATTGATTGGTTTACTCTGAAATCAACTATCATTTTCAAAAGACGAAAATGTAAACTATTAAAACACATTTCTCTGTTTTTCTTCAGAGTTTCTCCGACTGACCAGATGCGTTTGCAAAACCGATTCTGCAACTTGAGAATACAGCTTTAGGTATTAGAAACCAAAGATCACGAGTGGTAAGTTTATGACCATAAACAATTTCTTTGTTATTAAACCAATTGTTAAAAACTTGTGTGTAGATTTACTAGCTTTAAGCAATGAGTTTATACTATTTTTTGTACAGTTTGTTTAATTATGGTTCTGTCTTATAACTTTTTTTCATGTTTAGATAATTTCTAATATTTTCTTGCATTTTCATCTTTTGTTCAAATTTTTTTTTAGGACTGGCAGCAGTTGAAGCACCAAGGTCCCACGGCATGGATTAAAAATCAGACTCTGACCTCTAAATAAAGGGAACAGGACTGACAACAGACTCTGCCCTGTAATTCTTCCCTGCTCATCCTGGAAGCTCGCCGTTTTTTAAATATGTCTCAGATAAGGAGGTCAACACACAACTCAAGATGAACCCTTATGTCACTTCTCACTTTAGGAGGGATCTCTTCCCACATTTTTATTTGTTGTAGACTTTTTTCCTCCTCTTTTATCAATGAAGATCATTTTTGTGTAATTTCACAGTTAAAGCAGCTGCTGAGTGTCTTGCTTGTTGTCCTTTTTGCTCTTGGATTAGACTTTGGTTCAGGGACTGTTTCTGATCCGTACTTCTTAAATGATTTGTTGTTGCATAATCTGGGTTCACTTTTAAATACAGCTGGGCAAGGTAAATGCAAACACAACAAGCATACAGTTTCATTGCCATATAGATATGTATTTATGTAGATTTTTTTAATTTTCAGTTTGTAACAACTGATAATATATTAGTTTATGAGTGCTTGTTAGACAATAGCACACGACTCATTACAAAAAGACTCTTGCATGTTATTTTTACACAGCATTTGCATTTTTTGGGAAAATATTTTCATAGCATTTTTTTTTATTCTTTGTTTAATCAACAATGCAGATTTAGTGGATTTAAATCCACAGAGGTTGTCACACTTTTTGATATTTTATTTTTTCAGCACTTCTTGGATTTTTTCCTTCTTTGACTTACATGTGATCTCTCACCTGAGCTCCAGCGAAGGCAGGATATTTTTAAGGTGATATGTTGCCTTTACCCCTCACATAAAGGTTTAGTCTCCTATGAGACAAATTAAGTAATCGTTCCCCGTTTCTTCCCCTGTTATTGTCTTTTGTCAGGTGTTAAGGGATTTTTCAACCATAAAACTGACATGTAGTGAGGTGTATCGTCTCAGAGATGCTAAACATTACAGACTGTCAAAAGTAGGTAAATAATTAAGTAAATAGCTTCCATACAGCAGTCAACACAGAGAACTAATACACAATGACTGCCAAAACGATGTGTAGATGCTTGGAAAAAAAAAGTGACATTGTTAAAGCAGTGACATGATGGAGTCAGAATTGTTGCTTTTTGTTAAATTGAGGGGTTAGGACAGAAAGTACCTTAATTTGACTTGTATAAAAAAAAACAATTTATAAGTACATTTACAGGGAATAAAAATTAATAGTGTATAAGAAAAGTCTTACTAACTTTTGCTTTCGATTCTGTATTAAAACATATTTGCTGACATTTGTAGGTAAAACAAAATTAACATTTCACTTTATTCTTGTTTTCCTCATGCTACATTTGAAGGTCTTGTAAAACCAGAAAGAACTTTGATCGTAAGATGTTGCACGTTTTTATTATTGCATGTTGAAAGTGATTTTATTTTTTAAATCTAACTTTGGCTTTGTCTGTGTTAAACACTTACTTTGCATCTTATATTGCACACAGTGTTGTGAAATGTACGCTGTAAAGAGCTGGATGTTATTAGGAAGTTTTCATTTCCGTTATCCCACTCCACTGCATAATCAGTTTATACTTTTCATCAAATGATGCCTGCTCAAGACCTTGACTTTTTCCTTTTGTTGTTTTACGCTGAACACGACCAGTCCTGCATGCTCTTGTCATGTTTAAGTCCTTCTTGAATGTTTGTTTTGCTCCAGATAGATCTCAGAATCAAACTTTTGGGGCTGCTCATGATGTCTTCCCTTTCAGCTTGTCTCACTTGCTTTTCTTCGGGAAGTAGGACTGAAGAACATTCATGATGGATATATCTTAAGTAGCCTAAGAGGACTGTGTTCAGAATTTCAAGTTGTGGACACTGAAGCAAGAGACTGTCTAAGGATGACATCCTCTGGCTTTACTTGAATATATTATTAGAACAAATCAGTAAGACTATATAGGAAATACACATAACTTCACTGACTGTGTCAAAGAACTTCTTTATCAAGCCACATTGGGATCCATAGAGATTTGGTCACAGGTGATGGGAGCTGCACGTGTTAAACGTCGCTTCAGTGCTGTGGTGGATGGGCCAGTGGAGGAGGAGGAGGTCATGAGGCTGGCACAGAGTGCTGTAGATACGGCTAAGGCAGGAGAAAGCCCAACGGAGTCAGGGAGCCCAACCAGCTCCTCTCCAGCTTGTGTCCTCAACGGCAAAGCTCCACAACTTGAGAACAATACAAACAAAGCATGGATGCAGAGTGCTATTGGCGAGTCAGCTAGGAGAGATCCTGGAGCAGAAGGTGGAGAGAGAACAGGAAGAATGTGCCCAAGGCCAAGAAATGCAAAGGGCAGCAGTGTAGGAGGAAGAGGGGAAGGCTGCTCTTCATCAGACCAGAATTCAGTCTCTTCCCCCTGCACTACTAGCCGCCGGCGCAACAGACGCTCAAGCCGCCGACCCCGACAACGCTTTGTGGACAAGGACGGACGCTGCAACGTCACCTTCGTCAACATGAGCGAGAGGGGCCAGCGGTACCTCAGCGACCTCTTCACTACCTGTGTGGACATACGCTGGCGTTGGATGCTGATCATCTTCACCCTCTCCTTCATTCTCTCCTGGCTGCTATTTGGATTCATCTTCTGGCTCATTGCCTCTGCACATGGAGACCTCTCTATCCAGCTTCCCCCCAGCTCCGAATCAGGAGAAACTGGCTCTGAGGGAAAGTCTGATAGAGACATGACAGTTGAGGAACCATGCTTTCTCCAGGTGAACAGCTTCATGGCTGCCTTCCTGTTTTCTTTGGAGACACAGACATCCATCGGTTACGGATTCAGGAGCGTGACCGAAGAATGTCCCCTGGCGGTGTTGGCGGTCGTTTTGCAGTGCATCGTGGGCTGCATTATTGACGCCTTCATCATCGGGGCAGTCATGGCGAAGATTGCCAAGCCCAAGAAACGCAACGAGACTCTGGTGTTCTCTGACACCGCTGTGGTGGCACTGAGGGATGGAAAACTCTGCATGATGTGGAGGGTTGGAAATCTACGAAAGAGCCACCTGGTAGAGGCACATGTCAGGGCACAACTATTGAAGGTAAGTGGGCCGAAGATGAATAGAAGCATGGTGTACCGAATTCAAACGTTTGCCACTGTGAGAGATTAGAAAAGAGGGAAAAGTGTGCATGACTAAAAGAGAAACACAGAGCGGGCTTAAGACCATCTGGTCTATTTTCTGTCAACTATACTTAATGAGAGCTTGTTTTATTTTTCTTCAGGGGTTTGGAAGATTTTCCATGGATTAACTTGCCTACAGTTCTTGAGCTAAGAACCATTGTCCTCTATCACCTCATTTCTTTTTTGTAGGTCATGTCTATGTGGGTTAGGTAATTGATTTTGTGTATAAATATGTTTAACCTTTTATCATGTTTAAGTGCATATCCTTCAGAAGGACAAAATCTGTGTAGTACTGACAACACATCACTACAAAGTAGACAATTTGATCTTTCTTTTAATAGCATATCAAAGTACAAACAGGGCAGATGGGATTAGATTTGAAAGGATCAAAGAAATACAATTTTAAACGCTGGATTTAGGTATTGTTCTATAGAAAGGGGTGGATGAGTGATAAGCCTGGGCATTGACAGTGTGACTAGACTTTCATCTTAGGCTCTACACAATAACCAATACATAAACTCAATTATGGACAATAAACACAGCTTACAATGCTTTTCTACAGCTAAGAAAGACAATGTGGCATACTGTAGATTTTTCTATACCATGATGTTTTATAGCTTGAATTACTATTTGATTTAGTTGTGTCTATTCCCAACGGAGAAAGGCTGTTGATACTGTATTTGCTCATGTCTGTGTATGAACATGTGTCTGAATTGTCAAAATATCTCATGAATCACTAGAAAAGTTTTGATGAAACTTTCAAAGTTATTATTGGATGTACATGTGCAACTAAATAACATTTCACCTCAATTAAATTCCGTTTATTATAGTGCCAATTCACAACAAATGTCTTAGAGTCTCTGAGCACTGTACAAAAACATTCAAATCTAATACAGTCCATCCATCCATCCAGCCATCCATCCGTTCAGTCCACATTTCCCAGAGTCAGGTCACGGGGCAGCAGTTTGAGCAGGGTGGTCCGGACATCTCTTTCCACAGCTACCTCTTCCAGCTCTTCTGGGAGGACTCCAAGGTGTTTTCAGGTCACCTGAGAGACAAAATCTCTGCAGCATGTCCTGGGTCTTCCCTGGGGTCTCCTCCCTATCAGACATGCCTGGAAAACCTCCCTAAGGGGGTGTCCATCTTATGAGATGCACGAACCACCTCATCTGGCTCCTCTAGATGTGAAGGAGCCGCAGCTCTCTGAGTCTTGGATAACTGAACTTCTCACCCTATCTCTAAGGGAGAGTCCAGCTACCCTTCAGAGAAAACGCACTTCGACCACTTGCATACGTGACCTTGTTCTTTCAGTCACTACCCAAAGTTCTTGACTATAAGTGAGGGTAGAAATATAGAACGAACAATAAACAGAGAGCTTCGTCTTGTAGCTCAGCTTCCTCTTTACTACAACGGACTGGCACAGAGTATGCAATACCGTATTGTGGAAGCTGCACTGATTTGTCTTTCTCACGTTTCATTTTTCCCTCACTCGTGAACAAAACCCTTGAACTCCTTCACTTGAGGCAGCACCTCACTCCCAATATGGATAGGGCAGTCCCCCCTTTTCTGACCAAGGAGCATGGCCTCATATTTGTGTTGAGGTGTCAGAGATGTTGATCCTCACCCCAGCTGCTTCACACTTGGCTGGGACCTATGCCAGGGAGAACTGGAGATCACGGCACAATGATGTCAACAGGACTACATCATCCAAAAAATAGCAGACAGAATCCTGAGGCTGCACATCCTGAGGATTTCCTCTATCCTCTGGCTGCACTGAGAAATTCTCAGAATTTTTCAAAAGTCACTGACAAAACTGGTGACAACAAGTAGCCATGGCAGACCTCAATTCCCACCCTAAAGGGCTCTAACTTACTGCTGGTAGTGTGAACCAAACTCTTGCACCTCGAGACTGAATGGCCTGTAGCAACAAATCCCCAATCCCATACCCGCAGAGCACCCCACACAGTGCACCTTGAGGAATGTGATGAACCAAAACTTGATTGGGTAGTAGCTGGAGGTCATTCCCCACACATACCCTGAATTTGGGATCTTGCAGTATCGTGCAAGATTGTGCATAATGTTAATTTTAAGGTTCAATAACACAACTATATTTGTCATTTCTTAATATAAGCTGATCTCAGTGTCAAACTTTGTTTTGAAGCAGTGAGCTATAGAGGCGTCCATTAATTTACAGCCTGTTCATGATCATGTTGTGTTTTTTGACTACTAGAAATATTTTTCAGGGATTCATTTGATATCTTTTGTCAGATGAAAACCAGTTAAAATATTTAATATTATTTGATGCGATAAGCAGTGATTTTGTTTTATTCACTGTGCTTTTAGCCAAGGGTGACAACGGAAGGAGAATACCTGCCACTCGACAACGCGGACATCAACGTGGGTTTCGACACCGGCACTGACCGCATCTTTTTGGTCTCTCCTGTGACAATTGTCCATGAAATCAACGAAGAGTCACCTTTTTTTGAAATGGACAAGAGAACCTTAGAGAAAGACCCTGAGCTGGAGGTGGTAGTCATACTGGAGGGTATGGTGGAGGCCACAGCAATGACAACGCAGTGCCGCAGTTCCTATCTGGCATCTGAAATCCTCTGGGGACACCGCTTTGAACCTGTGCTCTTTGAGAGGAAAAACGGTTATCAGGTAAGAAAGAAGTTAAAGACAGATAAATGTTTAGATACATGTCCAAATTTCTTACTTCCCTTAATTCTTTGTCTTCCATAAAGTTGTGCTTATTGCTGTTAATCAGCAATAGTAGAGATATACTGTGTTGAGTTTAATCCAATTTAAAAATTGCACCTTTTTTTCCCAGGTGGACTACTCATTTTTCCATCGAACATATGAAATCCCAAACACGCCATCATGCAGTGCTAAAGATCTGGCTGAGCAGCAGTACATCGAAAGCTCATGCTCGTCATTTTGTTATGAGAATGAAGTGGCCCTGCAACTCGTCTCCCCAGAAGATGAGCCAGGTCAGGAGCCTGAGAGTCCCTCCCAACCAACTCAAAGGCCATCCCTGGAGGAACACCTTCACTTCAACTGAGCGTAAAGATCAGGAGGCTTTAAAAAGAAACAGTCAGCTAGATAGATATATTAAAAGGGTAAATGATAGGGAAGGACATTATTTGCAATGGTGAGAGAAGAAGAAAAATCAATCCAAGGCTTTAGAATTTGAGCGTTTGGTCGGGTTAGACAAATAATCCTGTACAGATCAACAAACAATGAGGGAGAAGAACGTAAGGGAGTCTGGTCACTGCTCTGACCTAGTTGTCTGATTGGCCCTGGCAGTCTTTCCGGATCATTGAAAACCTGTTTGTTTTTAAGTCTCACATCTGGCCCATCACCACCACAGCACGCTCATCTGGCTCTAATACGCGAGTGGCAGAATGAGCAACAGCTCCACATGGTGGCTACAACATACAGCATTCATGTTGCTGATCTGGAGAAAGAAGTGAATGAGTGTAATCAAGATTTTTCACCATGGTGCAGAGTTATTTTGCTTCAGTGTTTCCTTTTTCAGTGGTAAGTATGGATAGCCCTTCCTGGGATGCTGAGCAGACAACCTGTTTGAGCCAAAGCCGAGCAGCATCAGCGAGGAGAAACTGTTGAAAACAAGCAGCGGTTTTTAACAGTTTCTTCACATTTAATGTACTGTATGTTGTACTTATACCTTTTTTTTTAGCTTAGAAAAATTATTTTTGAATTGTAAAAGTTTATTTAATTGTCACATTGTGTTTGAAACCACTTCTGTTTTGTTTTTTTAAGAAGATTTATTTTAGGGGGTTTAAAGCACAGCCCAGATGAGATGGGGGTTGGTTTGCTCCAAAAACTGTCTTTGAAAGGATTGAAATACCACATTCAACAACAGACTATTTTTGAATCTTATGTATAATTCCCCCTCTAATTTTTTTTAATTGCAATTTTATTTTTTCTTAACACATGAGAGTGGTGTTGTAGGTGGTGCCTTCAGAACAGACCAGAGATTTTACCCTTCATTTGTTAATTTCATGTCCATTTTATTTGAGACTGTTTTGTTTTTGGTAAATGTTTGCTGTGTGTTCTAAATGCACAATTGCAGTGAATTAATTCTTTATGAGCACAAAGTAATGACATGAAGTCGCTTTTCTGTGTTGTACTTTGTAGTTATATTGCAAAGCGCTTAAAATTTCTGTCTGTTTTATTCTTGTATTTAAAACAAATAATATACAGCTTAAACATCTCAACCTTTTTATTACCAAGAAATATATGAGGGGAGTGTTACTATATGTTTTGACCAAACCAGCCTTTTTTGACGCACAACCAAGAATCCTATAATTTGTATTTTGCACAAAAGTAAAATGTAGAGGCTAATATCATGAATCAAACACATTGCAAATGAAGGAGCAGTGAAATTTAATGTTGGTACGTTAGTTAAAGTGGTTTGCTTGCATCATAGAAGAGCCATCGTAAGTTCAGGTGGTGCTGAAATATCAACTAATATCTTACGTTTAGTGTTAAAGCTGTTCTGTGATTGTGTCTCCTCTTTCACGTCTCCTTCAAAGCTTCCATGTTCTATTTATAAGCTGTGAGGAGGTGTCAATCACCCACCCTCCACAAGATGCAACCTGACTCCTAAACACCATCACACTGGTTCATCTTATCGTTCACCTTGGATTCAGTGGTAGACGTATAATAAACCATAATGTTTTATTTTTAAATTAATTAGTCATCTGAAAACAATCAAATCTATGATATATATGTATATATATATACTGTATATATCATAGATTTGATTGATATATATATATTTCTTTTGGAAAGAAATACAAACTTCCCTGCTTCAACATAGAATTTCAAAGTGGCCTCAGGCACAGAGCACTTCAAAAAAAAAAAAAAAAAAAAAAAAAAAGAAAATCTTTGTTGTTGAGCAATAAAAACAACATGATGCAACTGTATTTATTTGTTTTTTTTCCTTTCTTTATCACCACATCATAAACAGATCATTTAAATGTAATTCAGATTTATCCCTGTTGTTAAATATGTACATATTACATTTACTTTTATTTAATTTAATGTTATAACTTAGAAGAATAACTGCCTATTTCCACCCCATAACAAAAACGATTTAAAGTCATAAATATAAAATAATGAATCATTGTGATTTAGCACCTCATAATTATGACTTGTCATTTTGTATTTATGAAATTGTATATCATGGTTACAACATGAAATATGATCTCTTAAACATTATTTTAACTATGACTTAGCGTTTCATATTTATGACAGCATCTAATAGTTACGAGATACTGTCTCAAAATGAAGACATCACAAATATGATGTCACAAAATATGACTTATGAATTACGACCCCTTAATACAGAGATGCCATCTATATAACTTCACATAATTATTTGATATCGAGCCATAATTATGAGGTAGTAAGTCACAAGATATTATTTAATAATTATAAACAGTCATACACGTCAAATAGTATTTCAAAATTATAATTTAGAATATTTTTTTCTCTTCAGAATGGCAATGGTTTCCATATTTAACAGATTATTTCTAAATAAAAAATACATTTTTAACAATTTTCCTTTTTGTTACAACAGTGTGAATTTGACTAGTGACATAATGACATAATGACAAAACATTTTACATGTTTTGTACACTTAAATAAAAGTTTGCTTTTCATTATTTAGCTAATATGCAGTGCATACAGCAAGGATTTTGGCCTTATTTTATCCTTTAGTCTGAACTATCGAGCTATAGGGGAACTTTGAATGATGTTCTGAATCACGTGTCTGGGGTCAGATTATTCCAACCAAACTATTTTAACTGTTTTAGATTAAATCAAGCAAATCAGATCCCAGGTCAGTGATTGCAGACCTCCACAGAGAAGAGAGGTAAACAAAGGCCGCGCAAATCTTCCTAGTACCGCAAGGCACCTGCTACGACACTCTCATTGGCTATGTTATGCGTCATTCACCTTTATCCCCGCCTTCTCTTAGTTTTCATTGGTTGATAATAAAAACGTAAACGCGACCGTCAAAGCGATTCGTCATGTCGGCCATTTTCTGCCCATTTTAGGGCGGAAAGCCGTTGGCGTATTACTGAGGCGGGTCTGCGGCTCGTTTTCAGGGTTTGATTGGTGTCGTATCGCGACTAAACCCGTTTGCTGGTACGTGGTTGGTCCGTCACCGGGAAGTGCTTCCCAGGCGCCGAAGCCGTCGTGTTGCCCTCGGAGTGCACTCTCCAGTTTTTATTCGCACCGAGGACGAGTGTGTGCGGCTTCGCTGAGGGAGCAACGCGATGATAAAAGCCGCATATGCGGTGAGCTACACACCTTTCTGGCACGGGAATTAGCCGAGAAGAAGCTTCAGCCCGGTTCTCCTCAAGCTGCGGCCACTTCCCAAAACAGAACCTCAAGGTGAGACATTAATTACGTTTTATCTGAATCTAACCCGCAGCCTAAACATTAGTATGTGTCCTTTAACGCGTCATTTCGTAGGCTAACCTCGCCGAGGCTTAAACATGGGGCAGGGGGCTAACGGCTGTTCGTATTGATGTGATTTTTTTTTTTTTTTTTACACACAAATGTTAGCGGCTTCGAAGTGACGAGGTTGATCAAATCGAACGGTTTAAAGGTGAATTTATCTGACCTACATTATAAAGCGGTATGCTGTTTATGCTAATAAACATAATTCTAATAATGGCATTAAATTGGATGTTTTTTAGGGGGTGGGGTTGTGGTTGCCACATGCCGCGTGCTTCTCTCAGATGTTTCATGTTTTCTCCTCGAGGTGTGGCCGTCTCGTCACTTTCATGTGCTGGCTTTTTTTCAGCTCACACCGTTATTGATAGGGGCTTTTAACTGTACAGATGTGTACAGCACACAAAGTCACCTGGCCTCTCCGGGTGTCCGCGGTCGGTGCGCGGATGCCTCGGTTAGCATCACCCCCTGCTGCTGTCTGTGTGCCACTTCGCATCAAAGCTGAAGGAAAAGGCGTTTCCAGCTCCGCCAGCGGCTCAGTCCGCCCCACATGAATGAGAGCAGACCCCCTTCCGCAGTGAATGACCTCAGTTCAGACTCTGCTGGTGTTGTCTGGGAGCCGGGTGTTGCTATGGCGGAGTGGAGTCGGAATTTGGCAACTCCAGCTGCTGCAGGAGTTTGCTGTGGGAGCCGTACTGCGACAACCCTCAGGTCTTCCTCAGTGTTGATGAAGCTCAGCAGCAGCACACTTTGCAGTTCTGTGGCAGATAAGGCAAACTCTTTGTCTGATCCCTGATTAAAAAAAATGATCAAGTCAAAAGAAATAGTCAAACATTTCATTTTTCCACAAGGACTTACCTTTTCAGATCATGATGTCACCGTTTTTTTTTTTTTTCTATTTTACCTGTTTCATGTTTTCCACCAGCTACATTTAGCTTACCCAAACAGGTTCATTGTTGTCTTAATTTCTTTTACATCCACAACTACATCACACAGCTTAAAAAAAATAATTAAAAAAACCAAAGAAGACCCATCCTGATGACTTTACATCTGGAGCACCTAAGGCATTCAATGAAAAAGGGAGTTAAATTTCTCTCCTGTCAGAGTAAGTGCTTCTTTAAAAAGTGACAGAACTGGAAATAGTCAAAATGTTTGATGCAGAATTGCAAAGTAACAGAAGAACAGAACATTATAAATGCTGTTTTCCAATGGGCTCAGTCTTTTTTGTTTTTACAGCTTTTTAATGCAAATAAGAAACCGCTTAAAAACAAAAAGGATTTATAGCTTTTTAATGCCACTGTAGGATTACATAGTTTCCACGCTGACTGTCTGGGTGGCGGCAGCTCTTTTGTGAACATGTTCCCTCCACGCCCAAAGTTGTATCGGCGTTACAGGTATGGTAACAGCCGGGTTTGGACTGGGCAGAAAAGAAAACCGGCAAAGACTTAGACTGAGGTGCATAGCAGGAATCAGGCCTGATGACATACCTGTAAAAACACTGAGATCCCTGACACTCTTTATACAAGCCGGGACAATAGGCTGCCTGTTGAATCAAAGCTGAGGTTAGCTTCAGTGCTTGTGCTTACTTTTGGAGACCTTGTGTGTGCTTGTCGCTTCACGGAGCTTAGTTATGTCTTCAGAAAATGACATCACTCGACTCAACTTAATGATTACGGTATTTTTCATTATCGATACTCGTGTGTTTTGTTATTTTCTTTAACGATTGCTTGGTGTAATATAGGGAAAGTTCAGATGTTTTTAGCTTGGGTTATGCAGAAACGTGTAACCATTGCAAACTCTGATATCAAACATAAAAAAAATACTCTGAGCTAGTTCAAATGATGCAGTTGAAAGAGTTTGCTCCAGTAAATTTCCAGATATTTACATGCAATTCTGAATTGCAGCTATGCCCTTAATATGAACAAAGTCATTTTAGTTGTTGCGTTACACAGTTGTTCAACAGATGTGAGTGTAACTGTGGACCGACACATCAAAACTCTCAAATTCTTCTAGGTTTGTCACCACTGCTGACATATTTTCAGTCATTTTGGCTGTTTCTGAAAGTAAACAAACACAAGTTTTACTTGACAGCCATTCATTATTTGTGTTTACAACTATTTAGATTAAGGACACTTCAATATGAAAAACAAAAATTGTGAAAATTTTATGTACATGTATGACTTTGTTTTGGCTAATCTTTATGACTGCAGTGAGTACCTTTTTGAATAGTTTATGTCTCCAAACTGAGGTTAGCCAAGTGTTATCTACAACAGGTAAGATATTGATTGTAACGTTACACAGAACACTACTTTACTAGAACAGAAATATCTCTTTCCTAAAATCCTCGTTTGTGTTACTGAAGATAAAACCCAAACTTGTTCAGTGTACTGTCATGGAAAATTTCTTTTGAATCCTACATTTTTCTGTGATGAGATTTTTTACAAACAAATACAAGACGCTTTCTAACAAAATCAGTGCTCTTCAATAGTTTGGTGTTGTCAGAACAAATAAAGTTTTTGTTGTGGTAATGCTGTCAGTTTGCTATCAGTCTTCATGTGTCAGAGCAGTAATCACTTTTAGCAACTGTCACCTCGTCTCACAGGACACCAGCCCCAAAGGCAACTCAGCATTTTGTCTCCACCCGTCCTCTCCAAATTCCGTTCTAGCATATTTATTTTTTTTTATATATAAATCTCTTCAAATAGTTTTGTAGAAGAAAAATATATACTTATTTCTTAGTTTACTGTGAAGTCGGTCCATTTTAAAACCCCTCCCTTCTTCATGTCAAGTCAGATTACTCAGTCGATAGATGCCTCTTGCTGTTCCATCGCCCACCCCATTACCCAGAAAACCCTTGTTTGTCGTTCGTTCTTGCCTTCCTCTCGATTTGCTGCGTCTCTCAATTAGGCCATCCTCGGATGGATGCGAGCTGCATGTTACTTGCGTGCTATTACAACGCTCTGCATGCATGGGTGGCATGAAAAGTGTGATGTTTTGACACAGTTCCATCATCCTCTACCAGTCTTGCACATCATCCGCCGTGAAAATGGTTCTAATAAAGTTTCACTGACCCACTTTTTTTCCTCTTCTGTCTTATGCTCTCTCCTCACACAGTGCCAGTAGAACCATGTCCATCAGGTCAACGGGGGGCAACGTCAACGATGTCACCCACTTCCTGTCAACAGGTGGGGGCTTGGGGTCTCCCACCACCAATACGTCTATGTTCTCTGCAGCCAGCCAGGCAGATTGGGCAGCAAAGAGGCTGGTGTGGGTGCCGTCAGAGAAACATGGCTTTGAGGTGAGCTCTCTGAAAAGAGGTGTTCATTTTTCAGATTTTACTTAAAACATTCACCCTGATCCATCAGCCCCATCTGAAGCTTTGCACTGATGTTCTTTTATCCTCCTTCAGGTTTCTAGGTGTTAAAACATGTAGGGTGTTGTGAGAGAAAATAAACACTTTACAGGACTGAAAGCAAATAATTTACCATCTTGTCTTAACATTCCTGTTTTCACTATCTGTGTTAATTGTTTTGTAAATTATTTGCCCGGAGTGTGTTCCCAAAGCTCAAGGTGTGTCAGCCAAGTGACGTAAAGCAGCATAGGGTGTGTTTGTGTGTCTTTGTGGGTTTTTTTATGTTATGAGGTTTTATCCCTGTGACAGTGAACCATTTTCTTGCTGTTGCTCTTCTTGCTGGATTCTTTCCTGGAACGTTGCTCTGTCTTTGAATAATTATTTTATGTTTTCAGCGTGAATTTATTCGGAAGTGACTCATAAATTTGATATCTTGTCTCTGAGTGTCCCTCACTGGTTTCATTAAAAGCTCTATGAATAGAACAATACGTTGCTTCAGCTTCCAAATGTTAAAGAGGCCATTGCTGAGGCACTGACTTCATTTTTACACTCATGCTCTGAGAATGGAGAAACACATGAAAAATACAAACTCAGACACATACTTAATACGTAATTAACGATTACACGTGGATACAACTGTGCAGCTTAATACACTTGAGCAGCATATTCTCTTGTATGTGGCTGATATACTTTACACACATGTTTTTGGGTGTTATTTTTTATTTTATTCTCTTTAGATAGTTTATATTGTAGCACTTTGAGATTGTAAAATGTAAAGTGCAGTACAAATTAAATTATTATTGTTATTATTATGCACATTAAGTAGCTGAAAGATGTGTGGCATGGTCAGAAGTAGCTCTCTACTTCCTATTCATAAAAAATAAAAATAAAATACAAAGAGGTCCTACCATTTCTCCTCTGTCACCATCTATCTGTTGTCGAATGCCATCAAACCCACAAATGCACTGAGGGATTATTACACTTAGCCATTTTATATTCACTGTAAAAACCAGGGTAGTTGATGGAGAGAAAAAAAAAGGTCATAGAGATAAAATACCTCTCTATCAATAATTCTAACTCGTCCTTTGCCCCATTTTTTTCAGTCCGCCAGCATCCGTGAAGAGCGAGGCGATGAGGTGGAGGTGGAGCTCACTGACAGCCAGCGGAAGCTGACTCTGTCCAGGGAGGAGGTGCAACGGATGAACCCTCCACGCTTCAGTAAGGTGGAGGACATGGCCGACCTCACTTGCCTGAATGAAGCCTCTGTGCTGCACAACCTAAGAGAACGATATTACTCCGGCCTGATCTATGTGAGTGCACGAAAAAACAGCAACTCTGAAGACATGACAAGGATAAAAGTTGATTGAAGCATTGAACTGAAAACAAACATTAACACAGCACACATATGCTCGGGATGTGTTGTACATGAGCACATTGGCTTTTTTTTAGTAACTGATACAAGCCGGTTAGAGAGGTAAGGAGTCAGTTTACAAATTTGTGTGTGGTGGCAGCAGTGGTGTGTATAGTTCTTGTTGCAAAAATACAAGAGACCAAAGTGTAAAGAACAGATAAACAGACGGAGACAACAGTCTGTTGATAACTGACCTACCACACAGCATGTGCAAACAGAGCGTGTAATAAGAAAGCTAATAAATGTATCGCATATTGAACTGCCTTTTAATGAGGCGAATAATGGATGACGTAGCTGAGTGGATGACTTGACATGACAGCGAAGAGCAAACAAAGATTATTTGCATGCCAAAGAGAGATGTATTAAATGTGAGATAAGATAGTGGTGTATTTTAGACTTTCACTAAAACAGGAATGCACAATGAACGCATTAGCCATCCAGATAAGCACACTTGTTTAAAAAAAAAAAACATCTTTGTAGATGTTATATATTCATACTCTTTTAAGATTTAGCTTTATTGTGAATATGTTTAAAAATATTTATAGTATGGGGATAAGGGAATTTTGTGCTTTTTCTTATACTGGGTCATTTAAATCACAGCTCTGTAATCAGTAATTGACATGATGATGTTGAACTTGTTGCTTGTGGAGTAAAGGCCAAACTGATAATATACTTTTTAGAGCTCTGACACAGCTGTTATATTGGGAGTAGAATGATTCATGCTGTTCAGTTTTATACCTTTTCACATACAATTTAATATTCCGAAACAAGAAAGAACATGCCTAAAATGATCTCTTTACCCAGACACATTAATCTCTCAAGGATTAGACATCTTGTTGACTTTGTACAAATGGCATCCAGAAGTATCACCTGGCAGAAACACCTTTTCACTTTTTTCCCTTGCCTAAACCCCTAACTTCTTGTCTAACAAAATTAAGTCGGGTCCTCTGGATGGACTGAAGAAAAAAATCATCAAAGTTCATGCTCAATAATCCAGGTAAAAAAATCCAACAAAGAAACTCAGTCTTATAAATATCTGTCCAGAGGACCTGACTTAACTTTGTTAAAAATTTCTACCTGGATTATTGAGCATGCATCAGGATACCTGATACTTGATGTTTTTTCTCATTTTAGTGTTTGGCTTTTTAAGAATTAAAGGCAGAGTTCAGATTTTTTTTGAAGTAGGGTTATAGAAAGTTTTGAACAATTAATATTGTACCTGTTGTAGATAACTCCTGCAACCAACTCCATTTAAAGATATAGAGTTTAATTCTGACCAGATTGACAACATCTAGACTTAGCAAGGCCAGGATGAAAGTGGATTGCTGCCATCTTTCAATAACGTCAAGCTCAGTATTTTCATAGCATTTTGTAGAAACTATTTTATAAGCTTTTACATTACCTTCAATTTGAGATTAAAGTTGTTTTAAGATGACAGCAATCAATTTGGTCTTAACTAAACTTTATTTCTCCAAACTGAGGGTGTTTAAAGAGCTATGCACAACAGGTAAGATATTTATTGATCACAACTTTACCATGGAACCCCACATCAACAGAGCTGAACTGTCTTTTTAAGAAAAAATGCAGTTTTACTGCTACATTTAACAAACAAGGTGGACAAAGCACACATTTTCCTCAACATTTAATCGATACAAGTGTTTTTATCACGGTCATTGAAGAGATTGAACCCAGGTGAGGTGGTGAGCTCGGCTGAATTATAACTTGTTTTATTAAATAAATGAAAACAAAGGGCGGCATCTTTGGCAAAAAGTAAGCAGAAAAGGATGTCGTCAAAATCTCAGCAGACAAGACCCCAGAGCCAGAAGAGACTGCAGCAAGCAATGAGGCTGCAGAGGAGGGCCCTTCAGAATCTGCAGCAAAGGACCCTTCGGAGGCCGCAGCAGAGGATCCTTCAGAGGTGGCAGGCAATGGGACCATAGAGGAGGGTACTGCAGCAAATAATGGAGCCAAGGGTGCTTCAGAAGACTATGAGGCCGAGGGTACTGCAGCAGACGATGGGATCATGGGCGCTGCAGCAGACGATGGGGCCGAGGGCGCTGCAGGAGACGATGGGGCCGAGGGCG